ATATACTTATGTTTACATATATGTAATAGGTTCGGCAAAGATATTGTTTTATACCTCAAGCTATAGTTGAAAATGCAATAAAGCAATGTAATGTATGTGTTACATGATGTGCAACAAAACATGCACCTGCTATGAAATCTATAATCGCCAAAAAATTTCTTGCTCACGTTCAAGTAAGTTCTATAATTAATTAACTATATATGTTTTTTATTTATATTTTAAATTAATTTTAAAATTAATTTTTTTTAAAGATTGATATTATAAACATGACAGCAATACCAGATGGTGAATTTAAATATATTATTCACATATGGGATTATTTTACAAAATTTTTTGCAGCAGAGCCTGCAAAAACAAAATCTGCAATTGAAGCAGCTTGCTTTCTTTTGCAATTTTGTTTAAAATATGGTGCACCTTCGATTTTACATTCTGATAATAGCGGTGAGTTCATTGGTGATGTTGTAAAAGAAACTATAAAATTTTGGTCATCACTTAAATTTATACATGGGAGGCCAAAATACCCACAGTGTCAAGGTTCTATTGAGAAAGGAAATGAAATTTTACAAACAAAACTTGGATCTTGGATGGAGGAAACTAAATATAATGAATAGAGTATTGGTTTGCCATTTATTATCTGTAAATAACTTTAAATATTTTTATTATATATTTAAATATATTGATGAAATAATTAAATATAAAATAATACTGTATATTACTGCAGGGGCTATAAATATACAAGTGTGTAATGCAACAAAAACAACACCATATCAACTGGTATTTGGTCAAGATCTCCAAGCAGATTTACGAATTATCTCAATGCTTTATCAACAAAATATTGTAAACGAGAAAAATATTCTATTAGAAAATCAAGCATCAACTAATCAACTAACTCTAAAAACTGGTAATTTTTGTATTAATATTTTTGTATTTTTTTTATTATAAATATATTTAATTTATAAATTTTTTTAGAAGGATCTTCATTTATAAACGATATGGAGATAATTACAATAAATGATGATAGCGATAAAGAATGTAATCTTGAATCCAACAATTCAAATAAAACCGATCTTGAATCTAACAATTCAAATGAAAATGATCTCAATTCAAATGAAGATCAAATGATTATATCACGTGAAAATAGTTTTACATTAATGATTCAAATTCATAGACAAAAAAGGAAAAGTGGCGTGCATTAGAACTGAATGACAATGTAAATTAAATACGATGTAATTTATTTTTATATTATCATTATATAATTATACAATAATATACTAA